TGGATAATAGCACACAATTGAAGAAAGACATGGGAAATGGCACAGAATTCAAGAAAAAAAATTGTAGATAACTTATTTTTGGAGGCGAATTGACTATTTTGAGAGCCTATAAATATGACCAAATGATTCCCCAATAGGAGGGAGGAAGGACATACAATATACATTTTACTAGCTTTCTTTTTAATTCAAATTCTTTCTTTTTCCTACTATTTCAGTAATTTATCTTCATGCAAATCATCAATTAAGTAGACAAATATTGGTCTAGTCATTTTTTGACATCAACATTTTGGCGCTAGAAGGAGTGTCTTGTAACCAACAACCCCACATCTCTTACAAAAAACTCTCAAAAAAACTACATATCCAACCTGAAAAAACACCATGAAAAATAGTTAGACCTCTAGAAATCCAGCTCGAACTCACCTTCATGACACAAGTGTTCTTTGCGAATTCCAAAATAAAAATGATTCTGCTAAAAATGTTAGCCCTCGGCTTGCTAGAATGACAGAAGCAACAGAACGTTTGACTAATACTATTAGGAGAATGAAGATAAACCAAATCCACACCTCTTTCCTAGCTGATACTGAGATGGAATCACTAACTTGGAAAAGAATTGGTCGACCTCCCACCAGGAGAAGTCTTCACTTCTCAGTGAAGAGTCATCTAGGAGTAGGAAAAATGAAATAAAAAAAATCCTCCTCCAACATGAAGGACTCATAAAAAAGCTGGCCAAGTATACGTCCTAGATGGAACTACAAGGAGTAAATGATGCTTCATGTGTCGAGCTTTTCCCTTAACATTAGGGGACAAAGCTCAAAGATGGTTTAGAATGTTGCATCAGAGGTCTATCAAAAACTGAATCGACCTAGCTAGAGAACGTATATCTAGTTCATAGGCTCAAAAGCTCGAACAACACCTAAGGAACCCCTAGTGAGCATTAAACAAGGACGTAGTGAATCTTTGAAAAGTTACATTGGTAGATTCAATAAACAGTTTATAGAGTTAGAAAAGATATCAAATGACGGTACATTATGGCCGTCCTCTCAGAACTAAGGCCAAAATAGCACTTCTAGTAGTTAGTTTATGAGGATGGACCTAGGAACTATCATGAGTTCTTAAGTCGAACAAAGAAGCATATTGTAGCAGAGGAGACAAACTCAGACCAGGAAGAAGGAAAGGCTGATCTCAATTATTCAGCTCATCCTAAAGTCAAATGGGTGGACAAACGATCAACACTTGAACGAAGAAAAGAGAAAAGATATATAGGTCGACCTCATCCATATCCAGAAAGATTCCAAGAATACCATTCTCTAAATACAATCCCTAGAAGGAATCTTTATGTGAGTAGGGGGTAAGAAGGTCTTCCCTAAACCTCTTCCCTTAAGAAAGAACTTAATGGGTCCCAACTAACATAAGTAATGCCGTCGGTACCATATGTTAGCAAGTCATAATACCAAAAAAATTTGGGACCTCAAAGTGCAGGTGAAAGTTCTAATCGGCCAGGTCAACTTTGAGAATTTATGATTAAGCTCAAGGAGACGACTCAGACATCTCCAATGTAGATACTAACTCCATAATAGTAGAAGAAAGTTTCACCACCTCCTCCACATACAATAACGAGGACTACAATGGCATAAAGCCTGTTCTTCAATAGCATAATCTAAGGTTACAAGTGCTGTAACACTTGGACAAAGCCTGCTCTTCAGCGACACAATATAAGATTATAAGTGTTGTAACACTTAGATAAAGCCCGCTCTTCAATGGCATAAAGCATGTTCTTCAGCAACACAATCTAAGGTTGTAAGTGCTGCAAGAGTTAGACAAAGTCCGCTCTTCAGTGTCATAAAGCTTGCTCTTCAGCAGCACAATCTAAAATTGTAAATGCTGCAACACTTAAACAAAATCTGCACTTCAGTGGAACAAATCTTGCTTTTCAGTAGCACGGTTTGAGGTTTTAAGTGCTACAAAGACAAAAGTCTGCTCTTAGTAGTCCTCTCCTAAGTCCATTTTGTCTCAAGCCCCCTCATTATGAGCTCTCACTCTTTGGCAGTTCGGTACATAACTAGGACATCATCTCAGATCTTGTGGTTGGTCTCCACCTTAGTGTCCACCTAAGTGTAGTGCAAACAAATAGAAAAAGTCAAATAACTCTACATAAATGAACTCAAAATGTGCAAATCCCACCAAGAATTGGTAACAAAGTCTGACTTGGAAAAGGCTGGAGACACAAATCAAACTTCGTTCCTAAACCAATTCGTGAACGACCAACTCTAAAAAATCAGGATCATAAGTACTCCGAGCTGTAAAACAAAGGTTGGAACTTTATTGATATAAATGTTTAGACCTTTGGGGGGCATTTGTTGGTGTCCAAACTGACAAAACTAGCTTGGACTTACCTTAATTTAAGAATGTGAGCTTGTAAATATTCAATAATCACTTCAAAGAGGACACACTAAAAGATCACCAAATCAGTTCAACCTATGAGCTCTACCAAGATAGGTCAGCTCGTCTAGTACTAGGTCGACTCAATCATATCCTCCGTCATTTAGAAAGCATCATCATTACTTTATTGTCACTTATGCCTTATCCATGACATCATTGATTTCCATATGAAAATTCTCATAACAACACATAGCACTCATGATAATTGTGTCTTACTTTTAACCAATCAAAAGTTTGTAATAATTACCCACCACCTCGACATCATCATGAGTTGACCTTAAAAGAACCAATCGAGAAGAAAGTCTTGCAATAGTACACAATTCAAGGAAATCATTGTAGATAACTTATTTTGAAGGCTAATTGGCTATTTTGAGAACCTATAAATATGACCAAATGATTCCCCAATAGGAGCAGGAAAGAACATACAATACATTCTACAAGTTTTATTTTTAATACAAAATTCTCTCTTTTTTCTATTATTTCAACAATTTACCTAATACAAATCATCAATTAAGTTAACAAAGATTGACCTAATAATTTTATTACGTCAACAAAAATATTAAATTATAACCGAAATTTTGAACAAAAAATTTTAAAATTTTTAACTGAAAAGTTAAAAATCGATGTAATTTTCACTTAGAAGGGGCTTAGGAGCCTAACCCCTTTCAAAACAGTAGGAGCATATCTAGAAGTGGAAATTACACAAAACAAGAGTTTTCAACATTCGATTTCAAATTTCAGCTATTAGGTTTCACTTTTCAAAAATCAGATATTTTATTTTTAAATATTAAATATTAATTATACTATTTTCATTCTAAACACTAATCAAGTTCATTCCAAACTGGCAAATATTTTCCTCCTGTTCTCTCGCCTCTCCGTCTTCTCACTCTCTCTTCTCTTCATCACCACTGAAGGCGACACAGCAAACGCTGCCGCCGTAACCATAGCAGCGAGCGATGGCGTTATCCCCCATATTCTCTCTCTTCACTCTCTTCTCCCCATCGCGACGTGACAGAAACACGGAGCAGCAACACCGCTGAATGCTTGCGGTGGTGTCGCGGTGGTGTGTGTTGTGATGATGCTAGTGGTGGTGGTGGTGCGGTTAGTGGAGGTTGGGTACAGCGGGGATGTTTTTAGGGGTTTCGGTTTCTTCCTCCGATATGCTTCGACGGAGCTTTGAGGGTGCTCGCCAGTGTTTTTTATGGTTTTGAGTGGTAGCGATGCCAGCTTTTTTGTGAGGCGGTAGCAGCGCCGACGTGGTGTTGGAAGTTGTTGGCGGTGGTGGGTTTACTGTTCCTGTGGCGGTGGTTGTTCTTGTTCCTATGGCGGCGGCGGCGACAATCATATATGGTGGGCGTTGTGGTGATGGTGTTTGTGGATCCGATTTGTTGGTTTTTTTTGGCAGATGTGGCGATGATTTTCTTAGATCTTGTTGGTGGTTGTGGTGGTAGTGAGGTAGTGGTGGTGATGGCGATTTTGGTATTGTTTGGACGACGATTTTGTTGCTTGCGATTTGATGTTTAGGTGACAACATTGGATAATGTTGGTGGTTGGATGTTGATTTTATTGATTTTTGGGAGGCGATATGGTGTTTGGGTGACGATGTTAAATCTTGTTGGTGTGGTGGTTTTGTTGGTGGTTGTGGTGACGAGGTGGTGATGGTGGTAGATTTGAAGTTGAAAATTTGTTGGAGGTGGTCGGCGGCGATGATGGAAGGGTTGGGGATTTTTTGGGTTGTGGGGGTGGTGGTGGTAGTGGTTCCAACGATGGGGGTTCGGTTGTCGTGTTATTGGTGGAAGTGGTGAGGTGATGCTCACAAATGTTGGTGGTGGTCACAGATTATTTGATCGTTTGTGACCATTAAATTTATTAATTTGTGATCGATAAACAATATATGACCAATGAAAAATATAAATTGTGGCCAAGAAATAATGTGTGACTTAAAAAAATTATTAATTTGTGACCGATAATTTGACAATTTGTGACTGTCTACTAAATTGTGACTTATAATTTTTGTGATTTGTGACCGATGAATAAGTTGTGACGTATAAATTCTTTTATTTGTGACCGATGAACAAATTGTAAATTATAAAATTTTTGATTTGTGACTGTAAAATAATTTATAACGTTTCAATTTTTTATTTGTAACCGATAAACAAATTGTGACCTACAAAATTTTCGAATTGTGATCGTAAAATAATTTGTGACATATAAAATTTGTAATTTGTCATCAATTATATAGAATTTGTGACCAAATTATATGGAATTGTGATATTAATATATTTATTTAATTAATAAAATATATGTTTAATTAATTAATTTATAAATAAAATTTAAAAAAATCTAAGATTTGATCTCTTGAAATTTTCCCTTTCTAGAATTCAGGCCAGTCCTCTCCGCACTCCACTTTCTTCTTCAACTGAAAACTTTAATATACACAAGGAGAAACAGAGAAGACGATTCAATAGTTAGGGTTTTTTTTCGTTTTTCTTTCGATTTCGATTTCGATTTCGATTTCGGTTTCGGTTTCGGTTTCGGTTACATACAGGATGATACGAATTATGAGCTATTATTTAAGAGCACTTTTGTTGAGTTTGATAGTAAAAGTATCAGAATCGGCGCCACAGGCATATAGGAGAGACCCAGGGCACCCGCAGTGGCACCATGGAGCCTTTCAAGATGTCAAAGATTCCGTCCGTTCCGAAGTCCGTCAAATGCTTCATTCCCGCGCTGAGGTACATAAAATGTATATTTTTAAGTGTCATTCAAGTACTGAAATTTCTGTTTGTTTTGGTTTTCATTTCTCAGCTGAAATGGCTAGTTTTTCAGATTGTTCATGCATTTTTCTTTTTCCACTTTCGAGGATGTGGAATGTTTTGAGGGTATTGCACATGTTTCTTTTTTCTTTGATTTTGAAAAAAAAAAGTACTTTCATTTACTTGTGACATTGATATGGGTTGATTGCTCTAATATTTTTCTGTTTTTATGATGTACCGGATCGGTCTGGATGTCTAATTACACCATATTTTTTCTCTTGCAGGTTCCATTTCAAGTCCCTCTTGAAGTTAATGTAGTCCTTATTGGGTTCAATGGCGATGGAGGCTATAGGTATACTTTAGATTCTCAAAAACTGGAGGAGTTTTTGAGAGTAAGCTTTCCATCTCACAGACCCTCATGCTTAGAGACAGGCCAGCCACTTGATATTGAGCATCACGTTGTATTTAATGCATTTCCAGTAAGCTTATCATTTTCTCCGAGATTTCTATTCTGGTTGCGTGATCTAGTTCTTCCATTATGCTTGAGGATGTTATTATTTTCTCCGAGATTTCATCGTATCTTATACTTTGGAGGTGCCTGAATAATGAGTTAAATAGTCATAAAGTGACCATGAACCGTAATATTTTTTTTCCCAGTTTATTAGTAGTATTTGCTGGTTTGACTTGGTGAAGATTGATCCTTTACAATGATATAGTAGTGATAGTAATGAGCAAAAAAATACAGGCCAAAAGCAAGATACCATCCTTACAAGAAAACTGAGAAATGTTGATGCCTCTGATAGGTAACACGCTGAAGAAACAAAGATGGGAAGGCTACTCTTTAACTTCTACTACTTTCACAAGATCTTATTTCACTTCTCACTGCAGGCTGGGCAGCCGGAATTGATAGCATTGGAGAAAATACTGAAATCAGCCATGGTTCCCACTGGCACTGCTAGAGAGGTGACATAATTTAGTTTATTCTGATTCTGAATTCTGGTTTTGAACCCCCTAGAGAGTCACTGGCTTTCTAGAGTTTGGATGAAATTTTCATTGACCTTATGGCTTATAGGCTAATTTTGGAAGAGAAGTTCCTTTATTTGAGGTTGAAGCGACAACTGTTGAGCCGGAGTTTCAGAAGCTTCATTCCTATCTCTTTGACATGGAAAATGCAGGATATTCTGTGGAAGAAATGGACAGACCTTGGCCAACTGCAATCTTTGTTGTTAATTTTGATAAGGTAACGTTTATTCGTCCTGATAGTTCCCGACAATGTTTCATAAAAGGAAATAAGGCGCAAATGTTGTGTTCTGTATTTCATCTGGAAATTGAATCCTATAGGCCATAAACTTCCTGTAGTTTTGTAATTTCACTGAAATACTTAATGGGCTAATTTATGTTGTGCTTGTTATCAGGTGCGAATAGATCCCAGGAACGAGGAACTTGATCTTGAAAGTTTTATGTATGGCAGCATCACGCAACTAAATGACGAGGAAATTAAGAAACAAGAGGGGGATTACATATATCGATATCGTTATAATGGAGGAGGTGCATCTCAGGTTTGGCTTGGATCTGGCAGGTATAGCTTATTAGGCTTATCTATGGAAGGTTCAGTACAATTTTGACTCTATATGTCATCTGAATATCTTATACCTGTTCTGGCATTTCAAAAATTCCTTGTGTCATATCTTGTATAGTTAAAGAACCCTTCATATGTAGCCAAATTTTATGTATACTGGAAAGATCTTTGTGCATGTACGTAGTAATTGTTTGTTTTAACATTATTATGTTAAAGTAGCTTTTTGTGTAATTTGATGTGCCTCAAAAAGATCTTTGTTCCTGACCATGGGAACTACGTCAAAATGGGATCCTCACATCTATTACTCTTTCCTGCTGGCATTATGTGTTATATTAACTTTTGGTAGCAATTTTGTTGATTTTTCCAGCCATCCTTCTTTAAGTGCAATGTAAGCTTTAGACTTCCAGTCTGTGCTTAAAAATAGTTAACACATGCATATGTCCAGATATTAGAGAGGTGAATGGGAGGGAAAGCAGAAAGGTTATATACTGAATCAGAACAAAGCAAGGGAAAATAATAGGGATAAAGTAAAATAAAGAAGAATTTTGATCGACAATTATTTATTTAGCAAAGACTCAAGGACTGCCATTTTATTCTTATTAATGCAGCGGAACCTTTAAATTACAGGGGGAGCCTTGAATTCTTGACATTGTGCAGAAATGCCTTTTAGGATTACAAAAGATGGAAAACTTTTTCACGATTGATTTAAAATATAGTTCGAATTACTCCTTTTGCATGATCTTCTTTGTTTTTTTATTTTCTTTCCTTCATTTGATATATATCATTGAGGGAGCCCTTTTTGGTTCAGTTGCTCGATATTTGTGCTTATGGGTCGTGTATCATTTACCATGTCATAGTTTCAGCCATTTGAAGTGAATAGATTTAACTGACTTGTTAATTTATTTATTTATTTTGGTGTATGAAATTAAGATTTGTTGTGGTTGACCTCTCCGCGGGACCTTGCACATATGGGAAGATTGAAACTGAAGAAGGAAGTGTCAATCCTAAAACACTGCCTCGATTACAAAATGTATTTTTACCTAGATTGGTTGCAGGAAGTGAGCAGTCAGCGCCTGATATTTTTATTGGACAACTCGCTTCTGTGATTGCAACTACAGTAGAGCATGTTATAGCCCCAGATGTTAGGTATGTTCATCTTTTACATGGTGACTAAAATTTGGGTGATGTGGGGCTGACCATCCTCCATACTAAGCGGCATTGCCCTTCTTCACTCATGAGATATTGCTGAATCGGGCTTTCGCCCATTGTCCAAGATTCTCCACTGAACTCTGAATTCAGTGATTTCCACTCAGAGTGTTTAATACTATATTCATGGTGCATGAGAAATCTATTATTTTCTTCCTTAAAACGTTGTTTCAGTAAACTTTTTCTCGTCATTTTGTTGTGTCAAATTACATTTCTATTTTCTGGCAACACTATATTTATACCTTTTATATCTTCCTTGACTCCTTACCATGGATGTTTATTTTCCTTTTTGCCCCATGTCGGTGGTTATAAAGACTGGTTCCTAACATTGTCTTCAGTTCATAATTTTGTTGTCTTGGGTCCAGGTATGAAACCGTTGATATGACTACTAGGTTGCTTATACCAATCATTGTCCTTCAAAATCATAATAGATATTATATCATGGAGAAAGGTCACAATTACAGTATAAATGTTGAAGCAATTGAGGCTGAGGTCAGATTTTGTCTACATTTCATGTTGATTGTTTGGTTTATTCATTAGTTAGACAGCAAATAGAGTAGGCTTATTATTCACGTATGTACTCATCCAAGAAATTCTTGTAGCAATAACACTCTTGTGGCTTATGTTGTGCATTACATAATACTCTTCAGGTTAAGAAAATGGTACACCAAGGACAGGAAGTAGTAATTGTTGGGGGTACACATGCATTACATCGCCATGAAAAGTTGGCTATTGCTGTTTCGAAAGCCATGAGAGGGCATTCCCTTCAAGAAACCGAGAAGGATGGACGCTTCCATGTTCACACGAAGACATATTTGGATGGTGCTATACTTAAGGAGGTGCATTTCAATTCAAAACCTTATCGGGAGAATATTGATGTTCTATGACCAACCACTTATATGATGTTCATTAAGATTTTCTTCCACCAGCAACTTTTGAGTGATTTGCAATTTTCTTTCTTTGCTTACATTATTGAACTAGACATCATTTCTACAAACAATGTTCAAAACTTCATAATGCTAATTGCAGGAGATGGAAAGATCTACTGATGTGCTTGCTGCTGGTTTACTTGAGGTGTCCGATCCATCCCTTTCAAGTAAATTTTTCCTTCGTCAGGTTGGTTTTACTGCTTGTATTATGAAATATTCTGAGTTGATAGACAACTGTCATATCAGAAAATTTTTGTGAGTCGTATCTTTATAGATTTTCATCACATTGGTGTGTTTGTAATCTTCTTTCTTTATCCTTTTTCCATCCTTCTCTTTTCTGAATTTAGTTTATGTTTTCCAGAACTGGATGGACGAGACTGATGGTGCAGGTGATTCAATATTAAAGCATAAACCTCTTTGGGCATCCTATAACTCTCAACGTGGGAAGGATAAGAAAAGGAGAACAGAAAAGAAGAAACAAGGGGATCTGTACCGTACGTATGGAACTAGGGTTGTTCCAGTGTGAGTAAACCTATCTATTTATCTAATTCCAGAGCTACTTAAACAGCTTCTCCAGATTAAGATATATACTTGGTCAACACCTGGCTATCTCAGATTGATAATGACTATGATTAATTATTGTTTATCCCTTTTTCAATTCTTGTGAGGATATATCTCGTGGAGTAGATTGTAGTGACCATCAGTTTCCTTATTGTGCAGCTTTGTTCTATCACTTGCTGATGTGGATGAACACCTTATGATGGAGGATGATAGTCTTGTATGGACAAGCAATGATGCAGTTATTGTGCTTCAGCACCAAAGTGAAAAGATACCATTGAGGTTGTTATGCTTACTATTTTGCTTTCATCTTGTACTGGCTTATTTTTTGATATAATTTACAAGTTTAATCTTTTACATCTCCAATATATTGTCATGAGAATAGTAAGAGACATATTTTTAGTCTGAGTATGGTTGCCAACAATGAATAAGTTTATCCTAAGGGTATATTTTATGCTACATAATTTTACACTTAATCTATGTTGTTCGGACTCGGGTGCGGGTGTCGGATATGGGTACATATTCAGGAGTCGGATCTTTCTCATTTTAAAAATTAAGATATGGGGATACAGTTAAAAAGGATCCGAATTTTGGATAAGGGTACGAGGACACGTCTTACAATTTATCATCATCATCATGATTATTATTATTATTATTATTATTATTATTATTATTATTTGTTTTCTAAAAAATGATTAAATTAAAGCAAATATTTACAATATTAAAGCAAAACAACAAACTGCAATACAAATGTTTAATTTAATGATAAAATCTAAATTCAAACAAAACACAGTTCAAAATAAAGTTAAACATCCAAATTGTCATAACATAAAAAGCAAGAAGTTTTCCACTTGAAATGGATAAGTGTAACTTGAACTATTGAATCAAACAAATTTAGAATTAAATATTAAATTAATATTATCTTAAATAAAACAATAATTCACGCCACTTACAATAAATTATAAAACTTGGCAGGGACAATTCCCAATTTTTGGTGGTATAAATTGTTGACTTTTGAAACCACCTAATTTCCTCTATCATTAACTTATTCATTGGGTCTGACAAAAATCCATTTAACACCCGCCAAATGGACTAACCCTAACTTATTCATTGGGCTTGACAAAAGCCCATTTAGAACCCCTAAACCTATCGTCTCCTTTCTGCCTGCTGCAGTTCTCTGCGCTTGCTTCTTCTCCATCATCTTTCCCTTTCTGCCTGCTGCCATGCTCTTGTTGCGCTTTCTTCTTCTCCATCATCTTCCCCTTTCTGTCTGCTACCACAAGACTCGAAATAAAAGCCCTTTTCTGCCGCCTTCCACTGTCTTTTCTGTTGCTGTGTCCGAGTGCAAGACCAAGTATCTAACCCATATCCCTTGTCAGTGTCCGTGTCATGTTGTGTCGATACGGGTACTTCTTCATTTTTGAAGAGTCCGAGCAACATAGCACTTAATATGTTAAGTTTGGTATATATCGCTTTATACCACCATTTGGTAATAAAGTGGTCCACAGCTTAGTATTTATGGCTCTTTCTTTACCTTGTGATCATACTGGGTTGGCTCATGTATTTGTTTCCGCATTTTATGATTTCTTAATAGAAGTACTTTTTGACTTCCAAAAAAAGGGTTTAAGGTTCTATTCATTTTATTTTTGTCTTTAGCTAGTGAAATTGTCATCATTATTGGCATTACGACCATGTCTGTAACTTGAAGATATTCATATCACTGAGAACCTAGTACCTCCAAGATATTGGTTGGACTCTATACTGTTGAATTCTTAAGAGGACTTTCTATGCATGTATGGATGTTTATCCACTATGTTGATCCGTTATCTGTTTCCAATTCAACTTCCACTGAAATAGCAGCTTATGTTGTTTCTTAGTTCAGTTTAAGACCAGTCCTAGCTTTGTTGCATCGAATGTTGGTTTATATTTATGGTCATTATTCAGTCTTTACAATACTTTGGCTTACTATCATATTGGATTATACTAGTAAGCACGCTTCTCTTATTTTGATATAGAAATATCACGTTCTTTGATATTTCCTTCATGTAAATTTTGAGCATCGTTCTTCCTTGTCTGTGATAGTTATGTTTCAGAAATAGAGAGAAGACATGCTATCCCATCACAAGTTCAGCGCCATATATTGGCTGGATTGGCTTCTGTTGTAGGTGGATTAAGTGCACCTTATGAAAAAGCCTCTCATGTGCATGAAAGGCCTGTGGTGAATTGGCTTTTGGCTGTTGGTTGCCATCCATTTGGACCGTTTTCAAATACTTCCCAAATTAGTCAAATGCTTCGGGATGTTGCTCTGGTAAAATCTTCCTTACCGTTTCTTTTCTTCTCATCCCCCTTCTCCATTTTTGTTTTTTTCCATCTTTTGAAATGTTGCCTGGATTTGAATCAAGATATCAAATGTTGATATGGTGAAACACTTTAACACTAAAAACTGATTTTTGATATTAAATACAGCCTGAACACAATGGTTAGTATATTTTTTAGTATTTGTGTGGATCAGGTTTTCATTGCCATGTTATTATGCAGAGGAACACAATATATTCGCGTGTTGATTCTGCACTTCACCGAATTAGAGATACATCAGAGGTGATTCAATAATCATTCAGCCAATTTGTTTTGCTTTAAAGCTCTACTTACCAATATACTTGCCAGGCTGTCCAAGCCTTCACTGCTGACTATCTGAAAACCCCTCTGGGCGAACCAGTGAAAGGTAAAAAGAATAAGTCAAGTACTGAGATCTGGTTGGAAAAGTTCTACAAGAAAACAACCAACTTGCCAGAACCATTCCCTCATGAATTAGTTGAACGATTGGAAAAGTACTTGGATGTAAGTGAGAGAGCTTATATGAATGATTTCATTGAGCTTCATATTTTTCTTGCTATTCATCAATTTTTTATCCAATTATTTGTACGTTTACTTTCAGAGCCTTGAGGAACAGCTTGTAGATCTCTCTTCCTTGTTGTATGATCATCGTTTACAAGAAGCCCACTTAAACAGTTCAGAGATTCTTCAAAGCTCAATCTTCACCCAACAGTAAGTTTTCTTGCCATATGTGCTGTTGTCTGGCTTATCGGTTTCTTTTTCTCTGTTAAAGCATTTGATAGTAATTTTAATGCCTGATGAACAGGTATGTAGACCACGTTTTGAGCAGTGAAAGGGAGAAAATGAAATGCTGCAGTATCCAGTATAAATTCCCTGTGCATACTTCACAGAATTACATATACGCTGGAATTCTTTTAGCTGGATTTTTGGTATATTTTGTTGTAATCTTCTTTGCATCCCCTGTGCGCTGATTTTGTGAACTTTTTCTTCCGCTCAATAGGNGTGTGAAAATGAAATGCTGCAGTATCGAGTTTAAATTCCCTGTGCGTTCTTCACAGATTTTCATTTACGCTGGTATTCTTTTAGCTGGATTTTTGGTATAGTTTGTTGTGATCTTCTTTGCTTCCCCTGTACGCTGATTTATAGAACTTTTTCTTTGACTCGCTCAGTAGGCTCAATGACATTGTAAAACATTTGTAGATACCAAGTTGGTATCTCCATGGATTCTTAAACACTTTAATAATTAAACACGTGATGAAATCATACCAGAACGCTTACAAGAAACAAACTTTAAGGTGCCGTTCTCTTTGTGT